TGGACTTCACCATACTTCCGTTGGCGAACTTATATCCTTTTTGGCATCACTAAAAATTTGCTGTAGGGGCAGATTGCCTTATTCTCAAATCGCTACAAATAGTGATGTTCAGCTATACCGTAATGCCTGTGTACGAGGTCACTTCTTACAGCACAGTCCTTGCCCGTGTGGCGGCGGAGTGTCGTAGATAGAACGACCACCTACTAGAGAGAGATCCCATATAAGATAAAACAACGGAGTGGATTGCAGGTCTATGCAATATCCTCGTCTCAGCGATATCTAAAAACAGCAGGCTGGCCTCCTAATTTCGCTATCTCTATTATTGTGCGAAGGCGCATTGTCAACTGCCAAGAGTATGGAAGAGACTATTCAAACAGGAAACTAAAAAGAATACAAGCACAAGAATACGATATTGCCACTGAGCAACCCTCGGTCACACGGATATCCTTACCTTTTCAGCAAAAGGGCGCCTCGCCTTGCTTCGAAGGAGTGATGAAGACTCCAAAGCAGTGCTTGGCGGTGCCTATCTGTACCCGAAGTAGCGGAAGAGACTAGTTCTTCAGTCCACAGCATATGTAGTTTCCAAGAATTGCAATTTACATGATATTACTGTCTCATACAATCTGCTCTAAAATTACAGAACAGACTGAACCGGCAACTTCCCAAACTCCAACTGCTGGTCAACGGTGTCTCTCACTTGATCCTCCATTGACTTGAATTTGAGGCCGAGCTCTTTCTCAGCTCTACTCGAGTCCACCGCGTAGTTCATCCAGTCCTCTGGAATCAACTTCCAGGCGACGGAAGGGTATTGTTGTCGAACGAACTCGTTCACCTCCTTCCATGACCGGCGTGGAGCAGAGAGTAAGAAGGACTGGAAGCCTCGTGTGGAATCACCCAATGCTTTGACGTGTGCCGCAGCGACATCATCAACATGAACCCCCAGGAACTGACCGTTGATGGGCTTTTCCGACGATAGAAGAGTGAGTACCAGCGCTCCGCAACTTCCACTCAGATTGTCATGTGGTTCTTGCACCGGATTTCGACCATAAACCCAAGATGGATGAAATGTTGTCACATCAAACGGTGGGTTGTGCTCTTGTACAAAGTCGATGATCGCTTGATAGGAGGCTACCTTACTCGCGCGGTACTGTACCATGGGGTCAAGCAAAGACGAGATGCCCTGCTTCGCATCATAGGGAACTCCAGTATCCTCTATGGAAGGTCAGCAGATGTCCGGCATTTGGAGCCAACGCGGGACTTTCTCACCGGTAATCACTGTCCCGTGCGGTTGACCAGCCAGGGGCATAAATGATGATATTGAAGATGTGACAACAACCTTCTTGATAGATGAATTTTTGCAAGCAGACTCCAATATGGATGTTGTTCCCTGCATTGCAGGAATCAAAAGGTCGCTGTTTCGATCTGGAAGTGGTGATGCAACATGTACAACATATTGCACGTCCTGGATTGCCTGATCGAAACACCCAGTGACCGTAATGTCGCTCACAACGATGAAGTCAATATTACTGAGATGGCTGCTGAATATGCGGCGCAACTTCTCAGCCTGTTCGGGGCGTCGGATAGAGAGGCGTGCGCGGTATCCGGCCTGCAAAACCTCAAGGGCAACGCGAGACCCAATGAAGCCTGTTGCACCTGTGATCAAGACGGTAGGGGCCATTATGCTGTCATTCAATTTGGAAAATGGCGGTCATATTGGCTTCCCTGCCATTATCATGCTTAAATAGGGCATCTAGCCACCACAGCTGGACAACGACATGCGTGTCGGAGTATCTAGTTACGGTGACCGAAGCTGTTTACACCTCACTGACGCACTCAAAGGAGATGTTAAGCTTGAGTAGCTCACTAAGTACGTATGATCGTAGGAAGTTCATGCAGTATGTATGCGTTGACTTACTAGCCTTTGGTTACGTTAGGCACGATCATGCAAGGTGATTGGAGTCAGCCGATGGAGATTCAATCGGCATTGCGCATCTTGTTGCATTTGGTAAAACATTTAACTTCAATGAGGACCGGTAAGAGATCCTCACTATAATCCGGCTACGGACTAACAATTATAAGGATCTAGAAAAATACCATGGTGCGCGAACAGGATTAACGGGCTTACTTTACTCCGTTGATGGACGCGGATAAACGCACTCCTCCGCGGCTTGGTGAGTCTAATTCTGCCGGGAATATATTTCAGCTCACCGGTTACACCACAGGATGCTAGGGCCCGACGATCACGCGGCTGAATCATACTATGTAAGTTAGTTTACTGTATGGACTCCTCTATTATCACCACACTATCCCCACTAGTTCCAAGTCATATAAGTCAAACCCCCCCCCCCCCCCCCCCCGTCAATATTTATTAGTCCGTCGATACTATAATACCGTCTCCGATACTCCGTGCGGATCACAGGAGTTGCAGGAAGTGCACTTTCATAGAGGAAAGAGAAAATCACATTGTGTCGATATCGTTGAAGAAAAAGAAACTAAAGCTCAGAACTTCCCTCCATCCCTTTCTAATTATCAATATGGTTTTTTTTCCTTTTGCTTCTCCCTTTCCTCTTCCAATTGCTAATGAGCGTATTCCCGGTAGTTGATACTAGATTTTCGATGAGTTGGTAGAGTAAGATTTGGTAGTTGTTCGTTAGACTTGCAAGAGATGCAGCTCTACACCAATCGTTTATTATGGAAATTGCATATGCGACAATCAGGTAGCGTCCGCCTTACCTCGTTATTAGTGTCGATCTTAGAGGACATCTTGTCAATGTCCATGAGACCGACTAATTCTATATAACCCAGTTCGTCGAACACACCTAGGTAGACACCACGCCTTTTATCTCAAAGCCTCAAAACCCATTCCTCCAAAATGTCATATACACCGGCCCAACTAGATCATTACTTCGAACGCATCAAACTTTCTCATGACACTCGCGCTCGCTTGAGCGCTGGGAATAAAGACCTAGAGGTTCTGACCAGCCTTGTGCGCCATCATGTTGCAGGGGTTCCCTTTGAGAATACAGTGCTGCACTACACCCCCCAGCAGTATTTTGAGCTCAAACCTCAAGGTCTATACGAAAAGATTGTGCTTCGTCGTCAAGGTGGCACCTGCTTCCAGGTAGTCAGGATCCTAAGCGAAGTCCTGCTTTCCATCGGATACACGCTCTACAACAGTGCAGCGCGTCTGAACGCAGCAGCTAGTATCTCTCTTGCAACCACCGGCGATCCTAACCGACCAGTGGGTGCACAGTTCGGTGACTGGCAACACATGGTTCTCATTGTTTGCGTTGACGGACAAGATTACCTTGTGGATGGGGGCTTCGGTCCGAACTGCCCTGTCCAGCCGATTCCCTTGCGTGATGGGCATGAATTTGTGGATGGGCGCTTGGGCCGTCGGGGACGCCTGATCTACGACAATATCAACAAAGGCCGGGCGCATCATCTGAAATACTGGCGACTGCAGTTCCAAAGCATGAAATCAACGGCGGCGCCGTGGATGGACGTATATGCATTTAAGGAGTGCGAATGGTTAGACACGGATTACGAGGCCGGTGCCCGGGCAGTTGGTACAAACAAACGCGTATGGTTTCGGTTCCGTGTGACTGCTTTCCAGTACGTGCTGGAGGAAGGGGTCCCTACGGGTTGGGTTATGCTATGGCATAATATGCTTATACGGTTCGACGGTGGCAAGGTGCTGGAGAAGAGCTTTTTGGAGTCTGAGGAGGAGAGGATCGAGGTGTTGGCGGATGTGTTCGGAATCGTGCTGACCGACGATCACAAGAAAGAAATTGCCGGAATGTTCTCAGCTTTGCCTCCAAAGAAAGCAAGGCCATCAAAGATGTAGATTTGTATTACTCACACTTGGGCCAGCCTGCCGGACACTGCGATAATTTGCATTTCTCTGCTATATTGCTTCATACTTAATCTGACATGTGTTTATTTATATTTATGTTCGTATTGGGCTGTCAGACGGCCGCAACTACTGTTACTTAGTGGTCTTACCGATGGATCTGTGTTAGGTAAATATTTATACTACCTCTACTGGCTGGCATCGGGTGATCACTCAGGTCATCGCTCAGTACTACTGCATACATCACTGCTCACTGCCTTGAAGTGACTTGAGTCTGTCTTGCTCTTATTTGTATGTTCACGAGGGCTTGTGGGAGGGAAATGAGTAGGCAGTATATGCGTACCACTCACAAGATAACAGGTAGGATAAATTAATGTAGCTCTCATACAGCTTATTATCAGTGCTATAGATCAACTCACAGCTCACCAGATAAATCCGACTTCATGTAACTGCATCATAGTGCTCCGGCAAACATCCTCAGGCAGACTGAGACGTTGTATGAGGAAATCCGAATCCGAATCCCCACGCCCAGGGGAGATGGGGGTTGAGATTAGTAGTGTTTCAAAGCACCGTACCGTCGTCAATATATTGTGGAGGTGACAAAATCGGGAACGCAGTATGTGGTAGTACGGACCCATGAGAATATTCTTGAAGCATAAAGGGCTCCCTTGCCTTGGCTATGGTCGCAGGCTTGGCAGCACTCTCATCTGGTCTTCTGTTCTACAGCCTTTGGGGCCAACAACCCGGATTGCCGCTTCTGCTTGGGTAAACCAGATTTTCTTAATAATTAGTGAGGTGGGTTTGGTGCTGAAGACGGCTCTGAGAGAATTTCATAGCATTGACTGGGGGATCCGGCTGTCTAGAATCGATTACTCCGAATTATGTGTAAGCATCCGCAGACCACAATAATGGCATTGGTTGATTTTCTAGATTCCACCGATATCTGGCTTATCCGCGGGAATCGTCAGACCTTATCATATGATAAGAACGGGGTTACTCCAGGTCCGCTGCTAACCGTGCAACTTGCCATCCTGATTGGACTCGTCTACTAATCAATCCAGCATCCTTCTTAGTAGTATCCTTGAAATTCAAATCTAAATAATCTGGGGTTCTTTAACAACCAACTGCTGATGACACCACGAGTCTAGCAGCTTCCTATAGTATATATGTAACCTCACCTCGGCCATTTGCTATACAAACTGGACCATCGCAATTACCGCCATGATGACTAGCACATCCAACCCGCCAACCAACTTCTCCATTTCCACCGCCCGCCTTAATATCACCTACTTCGACCCGACCAGCCCATTTCACAGCGCCTTCCTCGCTCACCTCTGGAACACCCCCGACTTCATCGCCAGCAACGGCAAAACCTCCATCACAGACAGCCATTCCGCCCAGACCTTCATTCAGACCCGGATCATTCCCCAATACACCCGCAAAGGATTCGGCCTCCTCCTCGTCAACCTCAGGCCCACCTCCAACTCACCTCATCAAAACACCCTCCCGATTGGCACCATAAGCCTCATGCAAGGCGATCCACCAAATTGCTACTCTGCACCAGATGTTGGATTCGCTATTCTTCCAGAGCACCAAGGGCGAGGATACGCGACTGAGGCAGCGAAGGCGGCCATTTCGTACGTGCAACGCGAGTGGAACGTGCAGGGGGTGTTTGGGTTTTGTGCGCCGGACAATATGCGTAGTCGGAGGGTGTTGGAGAAGAGTGGGCTGGAGTTCAGGGGGGTGAGAAAGTTGAGGGTGTTTGGGGGGAGGGAGAGCGCAGTATTTGCTTTTGTGGGAATGGAGGAGGATTTGGGGGTTTATGGGATTGATACATAGATAGATATATTGAAGGATGGATGCGGATTAGCTCCTAGGGGTCTAGATAGTAGCATACCGGAATCATTAGGGTTTTATTCGGCTTCTCATTATGATCTGCCCAAGTAGCTAAGTAGTGCTGTCATGAATAGTTGGCTTTCAACTTTTGATGGTATCACTGCTGTGCTGGGTTTATATTGCTCCTCCCCATCTCCAATGTGCTAAGCCTGGTGATAGGGCCCTGGTGAGTATCCTTCCTATGAAGAGAAAGGAGTTGTGTCAAGACTTGAATTGTGCCATAGAAATACAGTTGCGGGCTGAATTATTGTTATTGTTTTCGAAGAGTTGACCCTATCTGGCTAATGGACGAACTTGGGGAAATATATCGCATGAGGGAACCAATAACTACTCACCTGAAATCTTTTATAATTCATTTGATACGTGTTGATTTTATTTATGTTCATATTGGGCTGTCAGGCTGCTGTAACTACTATTACTTGATAGTCTTACCAATAGATCTGTGCTAGGTAAATATTTATACTACATTACCAGCTGGCATCAAATGATTATATAGATTATAATTTAGTGCTACTGTATATATTACTGCTCTAAAGTGACTTGAGTCTAACTTGCTCTTATTCATATGTTTATCTGTCTACTTATTGATCTGATAGTTCTAATACAATATAAGTACCACAATGCTCGTAGGGCGGGAACTCGGGAACAACGGCTCGGCTGACTTTGATCCTTTCTTCAGTAGCGCACATCTCTGCGTTGCTCGTCTGTGCTAATCGGACAAGAACGTGTTGTCTGGATAGAGAAACGGGCAGATATTCCTGTTCATCACTTCCGTTAACTGTTAGCCAGATCTTGTGCGCCGGTACTTTTGTTCCTCCCCGGAACGCCCCGAATCTACAGCTACAATTCTTCGGGAAAGCCGCAGGGCCCAATGAAGCCAGAAGCCGCAATCCGCCCCCCGCCCCCCCTTTCCAAGTTGAGACGTGTGAGCGCCTGTGTGAGATCTTGCGGTTCTAAGCTGATGAGGTGTCTTGTTTGGCGGGGAAGTAAGATGCTAGAAGCAGACATATGTGACGGTGGTGACGAAACATTCGATAAGAATGTTGGCTGTCGTCACACCGATCAGCCACCCGAGCACTTGCATCGAACTTCCTTAAGCCGGAGCAATGAAAGGCATGCAAAGGCTATATCTGCCACGAAACTATAATTTGGCACACCCCTTCGGTCAGGTTTTGCGAAAATTCGTGCTCTGCCCCCAATGGCTAAACCGTGCAATTGTGTGAGTTACGACATACGCATATGTATATGTATTTCCAGCAAAACATACTGATGTCACCATATGAGCACTGGCAACTAAGGTCGGGAAGAATGATGATGTTAAGAACCTGCATTGCAATCACATGAGGCGACGTGGCAGAAGATGACTCTCCACTTTCAATAGGCCGGACGAGAGTAGCATCATTACAGGCTAGAATCACACCGACGCATATAGCAACTCCACTGGAAAAGACACCGAAGCGCCAATACACAATCTCAAAGGCCATTTTTAAAGTAGGTTCTTGGGTGCCTGGCCTCGGCGGAAACCATCGAGATATATTCTGAGCCCACAACTCAAGAGGCAGCTATCCATAGCGCACCGAGAAACCCTTCCATGTGGCCGAGCTTCCCCCCGGTATTATAAGGAGCAAAATTTCCGGGACTTTGCCAGTAGCGGAAGCCGTATGCGTCTTCTTTTGGGTTACCGCTGATCACGGTCACCAATGTAAATGCGAATAAGATAAAGATCAATAACACTTTGCCTCCACTCAGCTACAACTCGGCTTCCCCATAGACACCAATTGTGAGGAGCTCAATGCATCTAAACCATAAGATCATTATCAGCTGATGTTGCGATGGTAGAATCAGAGGAAGGTTTGCTCCCAGCGAAAGACCTACGTAAAGGCTGCAATGCAGACCAAACACACGGCGACAACGGGAGTCGGGTGACGCCAGTACTCCAGCAGTAAATTAACCGAACAGTTGAAGCCTTGAAGAAAATTTCATCCTGCCATGAGCCCAAGGCCTCATCCGCCCAATAGCCTGCGAGTCCGATAAAGCCACCGCTGACCGGCATGTAGGTAGTCATTTCAGCCAGGCGATTGTTCAGCATGCTGACTATGATGGACTCCATGATGAAAGCGAGGAGCAGGCTTGCTGGCCCGCCGCTGGTGAGGTCAGTTCCTATGGCAATAAAAAGACCGCTTCAGAGGAAACCGCCAATGGCAACGAGCTGGATCTGACGATTTCCCAGCCAACGATGTAAACCTCCTACAGACGCAGTGAATTGTCCTTCGTTGATGTCTGCTGTGTGGTCTAGGTCCGAGATTCCTTTGCACTTGCTCTAATGTACCTCAGGTTTCCCCTCACCAAGCTGGGAGAGGGTCATAGGATTTGGGAAGGACGCATCCATGATTGATTATGTGGTAAGCCCTACGGAAGGCGCGGATCCCTCCGCTAAAATACACTTAAAACTGAGCGGACGCATCGTGAACTCTACCTTAAAACCGATTCTACTGTTATTCGTGTTTACGGGTGTGGGGGATGTGTCAGTGTGACAGACGAGGGTTGGTGGAGGGTCTTAGAGCCTGCAGGCACTCTTTAGCCTATCTATCTCGGCTGTCAGTGTGTGGAGCTTGAATCGGGACAATCTAACTCAAATCATCTGCGGACGGATCGCGCCCAACGGTTACATCGGTTTTTTTCGGGCCAAAAGTCCAAATCGTGGGTGCAAGATCGGATCTTCCGTAATACCAGTGCTAGGGTTGATAACCACCTGAAGGCAGCTAGTTGATGGGCAAATGTCCTAAAGACATAGGAGGACGACATCTGTCCTTCTCTCTACGCTAAGCTGCCTCGAGGTTAATCTAGGATACTACATTCCGATTTACTCCTTCCTCCTCTGCCAGCTTGTCTCAGTTTGGCTATCCCACACGAAGCCTCCAATAAACCGAGCAACATCGCACTTATTTGCGCACAGTACACAATGACTGCAAGCCTATCACAGCACCAACCAAGGCGTACGGCCAAAATAATGTAAGTAATTTTACACCCAAACCACCTCAACTGTGGTTAATCGCATGCGAAGGTTCCACTATTTTGATGAAACACATCTTCGCAGTAACTAGTTTAGCAAGCTATATGTCGCGCTCGAGCCGGCGTTCATTCTGCGTAGCGGTCATAATGGCCTGAATGGGACGGTCGCGGATGTTGTTATATTATTTACAGTGTTTCTGACAATCAATTAGACTATTGTTTTATTTTTTTACTTTCCCTTCCTTCAAAAAATGAACGACGGAGACATTGATAGATTGAATACGCTGGCTGGTAACAGTCTAACGGTGGTGTGCTTCTGGGTGAACTCCTTGATAAGATGCTTGACCTAATTCGTAGTAGAACACCGGGAACTTGTATCATTTCTTAGTAGTGTAGCGGTCATAGCGGGAAATACTAAACATGTGCAGGGCAACCCGCTAGCAGCCGTACCTTGGTTGGCCCATTACTCGGGGGCATATGATATAGTATTCCAGTCCGACTGGTTCATTCTGCCTAGCAGCTATGTCGAAGCTGTTTCAACAGCTTCGCCTGGGTATTGGTCATGTGGGTTTGAAGGCGGAGGCGCCACTGATCATAACATTGGATGATGAATATCTACAGTGAACACTAAGACAACCGACAGGTGGTACTGAATACCTGGGCGGAACACAATAATGTAGTATATATTATGTCTGAAAGGGTGCTCGCGGCCGCTACCTGGCCGCCTCGAATTCCTGGCTCATCACCTGTTGAAGGCCAATAAGATCGGTCACGGCGCTGTTCATCAGGAAGCCCCTGTCTGCCCACTCTTTAGCATCCTGGCCGCTGTCACAGTAGATACCTGCTCTTTTACCTGCACTCTGTGCAGCCTCGTGTACGGATATTATGCTATCGATAAGGACTTCGTCCATGTGGCCATTGACAATAGGATGACCAATGCTGACGCCCAGGTCAAACGGCCCGATAAATAACACATCGATCCCCGGCACTGCAGCGATTTCTTTCACCTGGTCGAGAGCTGATCTTGTCTCAATCTGGACAGCGATGACAAGCGAAGTGTTTGCTTGCTCGAGATATTCGCGGCCAGTAAGTTGTCTTACGCCACCGCCATGTGGATGCTGCTGGGCAAACTTTTCTACCGCGAGAAGGGGTTCAAATCCTCGGGTACCCAAAGGCGGAAACTTGGAGTACTTCACTATATTTCTTGCATCTTGCACTGACTCTAGTACAGGGACTAGGATACCGTGCGCTCCAGAATCAAGTGCGCGTTTGATCATCCATTGCTGCCCTTCGATGACCCGTACAACTGGGGACACGCCGCATGCAGCAGCGGCAGCAACGATATCATGCATCGAATCATCGGAAATATTCCCGTGCTCCAAGTCGACGAGCAGCCAATCTATATTGCTTGCCGATCGACAGATAGCACGGGTAAGGTTTGCCCCTGGGAGCATTTGCCATGCTCCATAGGCCGAGTGGCCCTCATTGAGCGCCTTCTGTAGACGATTGGCTGCTTGCATGATAAAGTGAGATTTGCGGTATGTAGTAGTTTTTTTGACGGTTGGTAGATGTCGCCGGTGAGTAGAAGAAATAGCTTTGGAGGAAAACGAGTAGGCAGTACCTGCGTATCACTCACGAGATAACAGGGAGGCTAGATTAATGTGGCTCTCACACAGCTTATTACCAGGGTTATAAATTAACTCACAGCTTACCCGATAAATCCGAGTTTATGTAAATGTATCATAGTGGTCCAGGAAACATCCTCGGGCACTTTCCTCGGCTTACCACCCGACGAGCCCGAGCGATCGTTGTTATCTCGGATGGTCGGGTACGGAACTGATTGCCGTGTTCGGAAATTCGGGAAGTTGGACACGGCATTTAACATTCCCCGCTGGTTGCATTTCCTGGACCAATCACTGAGATTTAGCGCAGAACCAAGCATCTCAGGGTAGAGTGTTACAATATCAAATTGGATATGTGATGCAAGGGCGGAATTCGATACATTGAACCGTGGAAAATACAGTGAGGCCGCGCATACTTTAGCACGATGACTCTGTTCTGCCCGACTGGAGACCATCAACACGCACCTGGGCTTATGTCAGAAAGATTGAGAGCATTCAGCAGCTTGTACAGGGCTATCATTTAGACGGATCGTATGGAGCCAGTCTTGAAATGAGAGTGCTTGAATTCAAACGAGGACCGATGAGGGTTGTCAGCGAGCGCAGACTAATATTTCTCAAATGACAGAGTGTCTTACGGAAGAGGCTATCCTGAATGGCTATCGTTGCTATGTTGAGTAGTTGAAGGCATCGATCAATCCGAGATGACTGTCCACACATCCTCTTTGACCGTAGTGTCAACAAGACCCTTTGCATACTGACTCACCTCATCTACCAAAATCACCTACATCTTGAGAATTCTATAACACTTCGGTGCAGATGCAGATTCCATACCCCAACATTTCACCACAAGGTTATCAGTTGCTTGTGACAGACATAGTGTACCAACAGATTATTGCCACTCCGAAGGAAACAGAGATGCCGTCGGTACAAGTAGGGTTGCGAAACAATCCCAGACACATGGGTGATGGAAACCTCCGTATTCCTCCAGTAACACTAAGATGGGTTTCAATAGGCTATCACAACGGCTCACCATCACACTCGCAGTGGACTAGGCGTGATATAGCACTGTGAAAGGACTAATTGTATAAGCATCTTCTATATTATAGTCTCTTTACTTCTACATTAGTCGTTCATATATTGTTACGTATAAAGATTTTGTTACGAAGCGTCTATGCCCATGGTAGTGCTCGCGCATTCAAGTATTGGGTGGAATTCCTCCAAGTATAGTAGTAAGCACCAAGCCCTGTCTCAGTCAAACACTTTGCACCAATAGCTGTGTACTGACCATGCCCTGCTCATTTCCCTTACCAGCCCAATACAGCCTCCTTGGCTCCGCGGCGCTCTCATTAAATGCCCACAGCTGCTCTCCGTTCAGCATAAGGAACCCATCATCCGAGACCCCCCACCCAGTCACCGTGTCGATAGCCTCAGGCTCTGCCTGAAGTTGAATGATCCATGCAAACGAGGTCTCATCGGCTAGCACAGCCAGTGCCTGGTCGTAGGGCCCGTATCCGATGGTGTCGTCATTATAGGGAGATACTATAATTATCAGTTTGGCGCGTTATCAATAGGTGTGTGTAATAGATAGGTAGTTGTAAGGGAGGAAAAAGTAGAAGCTTACACGTCAATATAGTTTCTAGGGTGCTGTCATAGATACCCCAACCATCCGTGGTAAGTACTGAGTTATCAAGAGTGGATAGTAAAGTAAAGTTGGCAGGAAACGAAGTGGTTGTGGACGCAGCCGAGGCAATGATGCCGCACATGGCTAGGAGGGGTTGGCTAAATCTCATATTTAAAGCTGTGAAGGAAAATGTTTAATTTAGTGACGATAATGGTGCCTAAAAGGTATGGTGAAATATTATCGTGAAATTAGGACAAGGCGAAGAAGGCTTTTTATATCTATCTTTGATAAATTCCTGTTTATGTGATTGGATGCCCCGTAGCTAAAAATAGCCGTTCTAATATGTAAGGCCGACTACCGGCCCATCTGGTGCCTTCCTTGAGTAGCGATATGGGACGCCTAAGCTGACAGCTGATCTCTCGACACTTGCTGCGCAGTGTCTGGGTTGCTAAGAAACAGTTTCATATACGTAATAATGATGCATGTCTCTCTTTAGATTATTTACTTAGACCCCAGCAGCTTCATCTTTACCCTCTAGTAAATATTCAAATAAGCAAGATACTCCTACTGAACCGTATTAGACTATTTTATTATACTGACTATTCATGGAAAGAATCCAGGCCGGCCTGGCGGATGTGGTAGCACGGTATAACAATAATAATAATTGATCTGATCGGGTCAGACGATCATCAGGACAAGCTGTGAAGCAACATATTGCTCCGAATGTATTTTCATGGAGGTTATGTCATAAGTTTGAGATGCGACCTCCTCTCTCTAAAACGTGGACGCCTTATGAGCATTGCTTTACCAGTCTGTCAAGGTCATTTTCACGGCAGTAGTCGACAACTAGAATATGCAGTATGGTGAATAGAAATAAGATGAAAGATCCACAAGATTAACACGAGTCGGAGTACTTTCGTCGACATCACTATCGCTCAGAAAAGACTTCTGGCCGGTCTCGGTGTACCAAGCCCGAGATTATAGTGTGTTGATACCAATTCAGGCTACAAAGTTGAGCAGGCAAGAAGTGAACAGCCAAATAATCGTGGGATTTATTGGACTCTAATCTAGTCCTCGGTAAACGGACAACCCTTGGCGCTACTGTGCGGCCGTGTTTTCTTCTCCACCACCTCAGCTGTCAACTTCATCAGCCTGTCCGCTAACTCCATGTCATTGGCCTTATCACTGCCTCTTTCCACGATTCGTGGTGGATTAATGAACTGTCCACCTTCGGTCGCCATGGTCGCGGCATACATGGTGGACACGGCCCCTTGGAACTGACTCTTCCGAAACGGTTTTAAGCCGGCGGACAGGCCATACCCAAGCACGGGATGGGCCTCATGGATATGGACATTTGTCTGCGCCGTATCGACGACCCCCGGATGAGTTGCATTAACAATGATATTGGGGTGTGTGGGTCGGAGGTGGGCGTTGAGCCACTTAGCATATAGGAGCACAGCCAGTTTGGACCGACCATACAGCTCTGTGGGGCTATATTCGCGATTCAACTCCTCCACAGACGCGAACTCCGTATCCTTGGGCGTGCTTCCTTCTACATTGGAGGAGACGTTGACAATACGAACAGTGTCTCCAGCGTCGGCGGTCTTCTTCAGCGTTGGGAGCAGGTGCGAGGTCAGCACGACGTGACCCATGTGGTTGGCTGCCATGTGCAGGTCAATCCCGTTAGTAGGAGCCAGCTGGCGTGTCATGACGCCCCGGGCGGCATTATTGACAAGGATGTCGATGCGGTCCGTCTGCGAAGCAATCTCAGCTGCCACTTTAGCAGTCTGCTCCCAGTCCGACAGGTCACATTGGATCCAGATGAAGCGCTGGCGTGTCTCGGGACCGAACTCCTCCTCAGTAGCAGAGAGGGCATCATCGGCGACCTCCTTGCGGAGCGAAGTCACGAAAAGCTTGGAAATGCCTTTGGAGAGAAGGGTATGGGTAACGCCGAAGCCGATACCTGTTGTAGATATTATAGTTAACTTCCAATTGCAGGCGTGCGGGGAGTTGGCGGGCTCGGAGAAAATGTAGCAAGTTACCTTCTGTACCTCCTGTGACCACCGCTACTTTACCGCTCAAGTCGGGCACATCATCTAGATCGAACTTCTCTTCCGCGAGTTTGTGAGAAGGACCGCCGAAGTTTTCGGCAATAGTGTTCTTGACAGCTTGCATTTTGGTCAACTGGAGTCACCTGAGGGTATAGCTCCGCAATGAGATAAAAATACATGCATTTGGTGTATGTTGCGGGTCTTAAGAGGCCGTAGAAGCAGTTGACTAACTACTCATGATGAAGTCACCGACTGGCCATGCCGCCATGTGCGTCATCCTCTTTCCGCCGCCTCTCATCATTGGGTTGCAACTACATTGGAATCCTGATTAAGACTGAGATATGAAGCATGCTTGGTGTGTTAAGAGTTTACCTGTACATGGTGCTCAAGCATTATTGGCAACATTAACTCTTCAATATCAAACAGGCCTGCCTTCCCCAGTCGATAGACAGGGTAACAGTTCCACTACGATCTGCCCGTGGATCGCCTGGCTTCCACGGTGCATCTAATCTACCTCGCCGGGCGGAGCCGAAGGAGCTTTCTCCTCCGCCTCGCAATATTCATGTCGAAATATTATGATGAAGCGAGGTCATCATCTGCACACCTCAAATAGAGTCGAGAGCTAAAGAAGACAAGAGTGTCTGCAATGACCTATTGTCTATTCATCCTGAATAATTGGAGTTTATCCAATGGAAGTGCTCTATAAGTTGACTAAGGACTGGTCTACAGTAGTGACGTATAGAGTCATGTGACCACGTATGCAATTCAGAAATATGTTGGAATGTAACGTAACTCCCGGCCGCATCGGCCACCCCTACCACACCATCGTAGAATCATTGTACGACTCATTGCTAAGTCACCGCCTTTATTAGAAAGAGTGGTTGCATGTAGAAACGTATCGGGCAGTGTACTGGGTGGCCGATGCGGCCGGGAGTTACGTTAACCATTTCAAGCTTTGTGCCGAAGGGGGCCAGTCCGGGGACTTTGATGCGAGTGTATATATCAATCCACTTTTCCTCGTGCGTAATATCAAATAAACATCTGCTTTCACACTTTTGGGAGGACTCGAAAACTTTTGAAAACAGCGTGTATTTCCTCCTTATGATTTTCTGATTGTCCCTCCTGGATTGCGAGGTTTCTAAAAGGGTCCTTGCCCAACTTAAAGAACAGCGGTGTCATACATGATTGAGTGTGCATAGTGACTGGGCGAGATGGAAAAGGCACTCTTTCAAGCTGAAGGTCTTTGGTCTGGCTTCATGGGAGCCTTAGCCAAGCTAAAAATGGGTTGTGGGTCTTGTGGATTTGGGATTGTTTAAATTATCTCCACACTGATGTAGCACCCTTTCTCCTTGCTCTGGAGGCCTTTTCTTATGATAAGAGACTCCCCCTGTGAGAGTGGTTGTGCTACACATTGTGCTGAAGCGTCCAGAGAAATTATTTTGGGTGAAATTGGAGGACCTCTGAACACAGACGCTTGATGATAAAGCGCACGTCGCATTTGATGAACCGGGATGGATGGAGTTGCCTATTGATTTAACCCATACCAATGGGCCGTATTAGCCCCGACTAAGAAATTACTTCTATGCTATGAATAATTCTAATCTCCAAGAAAAACCCTTATAACGCACACATGGGAGAACAAGGACGAAGCATGTATTATTATCTAAATGCTATATTGATCAAATGGTCCTTTTTAATTTACAATATCAACAGTTTCTGACTAAACGATTGACTGCCATATCTCATCCCCCTGGGACCAAAGCTCCGCGGGTGGCATAGCTGTAAGCATGGGATAAAGCTCTGGGATCACCGAGACCACAGCAACTCTGAAATATCCTGGATATTCCCCCTCTTCTACTTCACTCGAATGATCAAAATTTATATCCAACGCGTAAACCCATGGCAGGTCATTGTTCATGGACTCTACAGCGGCAGTATCAGCAACCAGACATAGGCCCATATCTAATCCCGGTGCTAAGCCCTCGGTTTCTATGTACCTATAGTATGATCTGGCTTGTATCAGTGATCTGCATTGACAACATTGAAATTTCGAGGTTGATCTTACTGTTGTATCTGCTGATGCGTAGCACCATGTAATTCCGGATCCTCAAAGCGAGGCATCAAGCATTTATCCATGATCTTCTGACCGCCAGCGGACCTTTCTATCGACAAATCTATTAGGCGATCATACTCTGCATCCCATTTATCCCAGCTTTCATCATCTGAGTAATCTGTGCGGAATGTAATGAAACCGAAGTCATCGAATCCATTCTCTTCCACGACCTGGACTACTGCATCATCGGGTATTTTGAATATATCTTTTGGAGGGGCAGGGGGCATGCCCTTTCTCTCGCGACTTAATCTTTGTTCCTCGAACAATTTCGCAAATGAGATGATTGTGCGAGCTCGAACATTGTCGAAGGGGATCAAATTTAAATCAATTTGGCGGATTCGCTGTGTTGGTGAGAGATGGTTAGTACAATTCAATGGAGGGTTCCATAGCTTACCTCTTCCGGTATTTGACGCAAGTCATCCTCGGTTATGGTTCGAAGTCGCTCTTCAGTCCATCCGGGTGGTAAAGAAAACATCTTCGGCGAATATACTTGAAGCCTTTGATATGTAATGTCTTGGGTTGGAGAGGGAAAAGCTGTGACAAGGCATATGGGTGAGGAAAGGAAGGAATTTGGAGGAGAAAGGTTGCGATATTGAACAAAGGCGGGGACGGGGCCCGGTAAGGACCCACTCGGTAAGAAAGCTTGTAACTTTTGAAAGCTTAGCGAAACTATAGCAACCTAGGCTCCCGATTCTTTTATCAAGAGTGGCCTAGGACTGGTCGCGAGGCATAAACTTGGAGTAATACTGGAGCCTAGTGAAAAGTAATCTCCGGTCGGCCCGACTGACCTTTTCAGATCCAATTTCCTTTCCTGGTTTCGGTTCTAGGGTCTGGGTTTACAAGCTGGTTTTTCGTTTCATTTTTCAATGCCTTGTGCCCCGGGAATATATAGCATGCTCCGATTGGACCCTGTATATAGTAGTTTGCACTATTTTACTTAGCGGTGCACAAACCAGATTCGTGATTATCAAGTATTGGACCTGATGAGAACTGGAGACTTTCTCCATCTACTATTTGATTATTGATTTGCATATTATCGAAGTTATCGATCTCAGCTCCCTACTCGGCAACATTTGTGCACCTAGTTCTTCAAGTCAATGGCAAAGAAGAAGACAACCCACAGCCTTTGGAATACTGAAGTGCTTGCTAAATTAGAATCCTGCGTGAGCAGAAGGAGTGCAGCGACCGCAATTCAAAGATTCAGCGCCGTCGAAACCGCCGTCGCAGAAGCAATCCCGCTGGTACATAAGACATTTCTTGGTCCATCCACACAGTATGCATCCCCCAGAATGAGATTTCCACGCGTCGAATTTAAATTCGAGTTCCAGGCCTGCAACTGCGTAAAAGTAATTCCATACTCACTCTCTAGAAGAGCACAGTAGTCTCCACTGACAATCACATTGCCACTCGTAGCAATCAGATGTGGTGCCAGAAGGTGTTGATGCCGGCGCAGTAACATAGGAAGCCGTCGTAGTTGTAGTCGCGTTGGTGCTGTTCCAGTTTGCCACTGGACGCACACAATAAGCCAACCCAGGAACCAAGTTGGTACATCCAGCATTGATTGATGGGTTGATCGCCTCAAACAGACTGACTGTGATGGTATTGTTGAGCGCGACGAGGCTGCAGTCGTCTCCATTTTGCACAACGTAATAATGGCCGCAGTCGGTTGTGGTCCCATAAGGTTGCTTGGAGCGGCAACGGTGGTAGTGGCGTACACGCCGGTTTGAGTGGCTGAAGCGCCGGGAATGGTTGTCCCAGTCCATGTTGTTCCTGCCTGCCCGACACAAACGGCTTGCCGAGCTATCAGGTTGGAACAGTAGCTGTTGATGGTCGGGTTCCAGGAGGTTAATTGGACGAAGGTGATGCCTGCTTCATTACAGATGCTTTCACAAGTGTCTCCAGACTGAACAGTGTAAACCTCGCACGTTTGCGGAAGGCACAATGAAGCGCCAGCTGTCATGGCATTGTTAGCTCAGAAGCATACTATTTGGAGCGACATATGTGGCCGTGCGCTGAGTGGTTGGGTTGGGTTACCGTCAAGGTTAGAACAATCGGGGAGCAAGTTATTGAGTGAGATAAGTGTCCCAGTGGAAACATTTTGCGCTTGCGAAATAGCAATGCAATTATCCCCTGAAATAACCGTGTACGTCGCTTCTGACAAACATGTTGGCGAAGTATAGCTTGCAGGCGCAAATCCGGCAATATCAGTGACATTGGTGGGATTTTTTGGGACGTCTGTTGGATAACTGACGTTGCAAAGACTTTGTATAGAAGACCAATCGGATGCCATCTCGGAATCGTAGTATGAATATGGAGTCTTTTGGAGAAGCCGGTATAACTCTAGAACGCATGGGGAGCATGCAACAGAGAATGGTAATGAGATTGCAGATATATTGTTTGTATAGTTGCTTGAAAGAGTGTTGAAGTAGTCTATGATCGACAATTATTTAGTCTGATAGCGCGAGATTACCTCTGATAAAAGGGCTTAAGCAGGAATCTCGACTCACCAATGCATGACGCCCCGGAGGTGGGATCTGCCAAACAAGACAGATTGTAGCTTGCCCAGTACATATCTCCAAAATATGTCGCCGGATATCCACTCCAAACCTCATCCTGGCCAGCACAAGCAGATGAGACGGTATTGTGATATAATTCCAGAGATGAACCACAGCTATCGGTGCAAAGGTAGGCGTATGTATTATTGTTAATGTCATAAACATCATCTGCGGCGGCAATATTCACCAAGCTGCTGTTGCAGTTGACAGTGCCCTGCAAAGCAGTTAGGCAAGCATCAGAAAATGTCACAGAAGTGCTGTTTGCAATGGTCTCAGCATCTAGAACTTTGAAACTGTGCCCGAAAGAGGGTAAAAAATGCTGCCAAAAGGAACAAGCTAAAAGACTTCATGACGGCCCGTAGATCTAGCGAAGGAATGGATTTGCGATGGGTAAAGGTCTCTGGGCTTTAAGAAGAGGCAAGTCCTACTTCTAGACTTGAATCAGATCGCAACTATGGCCCCTCATCTGGTTTACTCCTATCTGCAAGCCTCCTAGTTTTAGTGACATTGCAGAATTAGGAAAACAATTCGGAAAGCATCATTTCCTCTCGTTCCCGGCATCTCGGCAGCCTTGTATGGCAGAAAGTGAATCCTGTATCAAGACTGTATTGAAAAACCGAGTCTACCAAGCGGAGATGTTAGATTTTCCTGAAACTTCACCAATGAGCTTGGACAAGGCTGCGCAATCGACAGATACCAGTCTCATATGCGCATCGGATCATGCTGTACCTGAATCTTAATCTTATTGGCTGCGGAGCAAGAGATGCAGGGCTGATGTAAACTCCTCTATCCGGGATATCTGTGGTGTTCAGATAGCCTATTGTACTCGAGGATATGTGTGGATGGTCTGTTCCAATGCGGATCTAAATGCAAGGCTTGATTCCGGAGGCTAAGCGTTGGTCATGCGCATAGAGCTCGTGAACCTGTCGGTAAAATTTCGCCCTAACATTGAAACTTGAAAACAGAATCTATCCACACCTGGACCCCTTAATGCTACTGATCAATAATGTTTTGGGTTTAGTTCGCAGCCACTAGCAGGGGTAATCCAGTGCAAGTGCTTTAGCTGGTCACATACCCCTCAGACCCCAGGGCCAGATAACGCCCTCGGGAAGAGCTTCTTAGGCTGAAAGACGTGGACTTAAGCGTGAGATAAAATGGTATAGGTGCATGTCGGGTATTGTATGAAAAGAGGTTTTCGTATTTTCAAATAATTGTGCTGGAACCGATATTCCCCCGAATTGAAAATATTTGTACAATCTATGAGTCTGCCGAGATGCTGAGTTGCTTCGGGAGATTTTATTGTTAGCGAGGTCCAGTCCCTGAACTTTGAGAGATAAAATATCGACTTCTTTCTACCTTGCCCTGATTAAAACTCGATTATAGACCTGTCCAAGTATAGGATGTGGTCTATGTTTTGGGCCGTCTGGGTCCTAAGTCTTCTCAGTTCTCTGCCTCCCTCGTATTCCCAAGGGACCATTCCATCGACCGATGACTATACCTGGTATTTTCAATCTTCCTGCATCCATATGCGCCCGAAGGATTATAGCTGATATCCCAAGCTCCCTAACGAAAGCCTGCACAATAGGATGTTGCGGTAACTCTGGCGTCTGGTAAGTGATAGTGTCAGTTATTCTATCTCAGGTCGCAAGCAATAACAAATGTTTAAAAGTGGACTAGGACCTGACTTTTGCGGCACCGGAAACTGCACTTCTAGTTGTGATGCGAAGTCTGAGTGTGATCCTGGATGGGGATCGGAATGGAGCACGGCAGAAAAATGCCCCCTTAATGTCTGCTGTTCGAAGTATGGGTTCTGTGGTAAGTCACCACAACTGCCAAATCAAACTTCTTGGCCGTGATCTTGCTAATCCGGATTGTCATCATTAGAAACTACCTCTGATTTCTGCGGAAACAAGACCGTCGAGAAACCCTCCTGCAGTGGGAGTTCAGCGGATGGAAGATCAATTGGGTAAGTTATCAGGCTTCTGACTATAATATTGACTTTATTTTAATGCTAAGATACAAATTAGATACTATGAATGATGGTCAATCAGCCGGGCTTATGATGCCAGTAAGTTCTCACTCACTTTGATTTTCCAATGACGGTTGGGTCTTAATTGACTTAAGTTTTTAAATCAATATAATTGCTAACAAATTCTTCAATACTATAGTGGTCCCCGAAGCACTCCCTGCTGGTGCTTACACTCATCTCAACTTTGCGTTTGTCTACATAAATCCTGATATATTCAAGGTGGCCTCTATGAGCAAGAGCGACATGGGTCTTGATTCTTGCTTTACCAGTCTTAAAGAGGATAATACGGGCCTTGAGACATGGATAAGCATCAGTATGGAACTGTGAATAATACAAGGGAATTTCTATTGCTGACCTCTTGCTAGGTGGATGGTTGATGAATAATATAGACTAGCTGACTGCCACCACTTTTTTGGATCTTGCGGCTTCGACATCGGCCTAAAAGGTATTTTTCAAATCCTTGCTGTTATTCATGATAATATATGGCTTTGACGATGTTGATATTGACTGGGAGTATCCTGTTGCTTTGGAAAGATCTGGCAAAGCTGCTGATCTCAAGAATTACCCAATATTCTTGCAGAATCTGAAAACTGCACTCGGCTTAACAAGCCACAACTACAGATTGTCAATCACTGTCCTGTCTAGTTATTGGTATATGCAGAACTTTGACATTATCACAATCAAAAAGACCATTGACTGGTTTAATGTCATGATCTATGATCTTCATAGAACATGAAATTTAATAGATCTATATATTAGTCCGTATGTATATGCACACACTAATCTGACCGAAATTGATCAGACAATGGATCTCTTTTAGCGCAACAACATATCTCCTTCAAAGATTAATCTTAGACTTGGCTTTTACAGCCAAAGCTTTACTCTTATTAATCTATTATATACAGCAGCTAGCTGTCTATTCAATAATAATAATAATCCAGGTAACTGCTCGGTATCCTCTAGAACTTTGATGGACTCGGAGATTCTCATTATAATTATTAAAGGCAGTACAACTTCAGTTCTTGACAAAGATGCTGCTATTAATATCATTACATAGGACACAGATCAGTGGGTTCTATATAATAATAAGATAATAATTAAAATAAAGAAAGATTATGCCAATAGCAAGTGCTTTAGCAGTACTATGGTATGGACAGTCTCTATTAATACCAATAATAGATCAATAAGTCAGGAGCTTTTGGAGATAAATAATCTTATTAAAAAAAGTTTTTTCAGAGGTTAAACTCCTCAGGTTTCATTGCTTTCACAGTGTGTTTGGGGAGGATATGATGAAGACTATTCTTCTAATATTACTCCCGCAATTAATGGGAAAGGAAAGTCAGCTTTAAATATGGTAATCTACTCAGGATACTTTAATGGCTAAAAGTGTAATTACTGTTGCCCTACAGATGATATTCTGATTTATTACTGGGTATATTATTTTGATCTGAGTTCCCCACAATGTAAATATCAGTATTTCGAGTAATTATATATACTAACTATTTAATTTAGCAAGACTTGGCTTTTCTATGCCATAACCATTCCTGCTTAAAGAGAGAAGTTCAAGTCACAATCAATCAATTTACCACAGACCATAGCTGTTGGTTCAACCATAAATCCTTATACTGTACTTTGATATCATCTGATACAGCAGTTAGACAGTACAGTAAATTACAGATTCTACTTAAGTCTTTAAGAAGAGAGATTTATGCAAGATTGTATTTCAATAGTCTACTAATAAAATTAAAATAGAATGGTCAGGCTCTACACCAGATTGTATAAAAGATAACAATTATACCAGTTATACTTCAGGTTATTCTAAGTACCTAATAGATAATGTAAATAAGCAAGATAGAGAGTTAGTTTGCTATAACAGTAAAATCAGGATTCTTTCATGATCTAGTACGGAAATAACTGGAGTTCTGCTAATATCTTTTTCTAAAGATAAAAAATTTGTGCTGTACAGATCTTATTCTTTATCAGAACTGTTTATAATATGATTTAATTTTGATTAGAGTTATTCTTTAGGAGAATTCAAATACTGATCTATTATAGAATGGCTTATACTTATATAATTCTTACTTTATTTACTTGTAATACAGGCTGTCCTGCCGGTAAACAGATTATTACTGAAAGTTACATTAATCATAAATCTATATATTTATGCTGGTACAACACAGCAAGTTACTTCTAGTAAACTTTATATTCTTAATCTTACTATATTTTATTAACACTAATTATTTTTTAATTTAGCTGTGGTATCTTTAATAAGGTAGCTTTAGGCCCATAAAACTATGCTAAGGAGTTTTTATTAATATGTTTTTAGACTAATCTAATAAATAACCCTCTTAATTTCTGTTCGGTGCAGATACTGATTACATATACTCTGATGAGCTTGACTCTGATAGAAATCCAGTAGACTTTATTAAGTTATATTAGTATAAAAATGACTGCTTCATACTCCCTAATACTGGAAGTCCAGATAAAATGAAGCGGTGGTATTCATTATATGAGAAAATCAGAGATTTGACTTAAAATATTCTGTATTAGCCACTCAAGGCAATAAAGACTATGATTTTCCACAACTCTGTGAAGGAGATGACTGCTATATAGTGTTAAAGTTATATAGTGAAGAGTTCTGCAAGCTGTTATGGTCAATAGGCAATATAATAGAGGAGGATTTTAATGGAATATTTGGTGGTCTGTTCCCGCGCGCTTGCAAATCTAAAATTTGTTAAAACAAGAAAATTATCAGCATTTTTAAAGTGAAAAATTATCTTAGTGTTAGAACCCTGTCTGCTATGCGGTAGTTCTACAGGGTGGTTAAGTCTGGTGTAAAGACTGCTATCTGTAACAGACTGTTAATAACTCTTGGAAAGTGAATCCTGGGCACTAATTATGTGGTTAAATATGTTACTGAACTTCAAACTCCAGCTTAATTTGTTACGAGCATGCTTTCTGGGAAGTCTTCTAGTGGGGCGGCTGCTCCGGGAGCTGTATTAAACTATGACTGGATCCAAGTCTTCTCTCAGAATAGCTATTTTTTTCTAGACTTGGGCCCAGTTAGGAGTTATATAATCTACTGGCCTGATTGGAGATACCCCTGCAGAGGTTATTACTAATGTATTGGGAAGTACTGCTGATATTAGTAATCTTTAAATCTTGGATGCTCTGATGAACGGGCTTAAAGCCGCTGTATGTATGTACTATGAGTTTAATTATATATCTCTCTAACACTGCAAACATAGGCCTGGCAAATGTTCGACAACATTATCTCGCCAAAGAGATTCAGTGCGGAGAGTGCACAAGGAAAAGTCGACATGATCAATCGTGTGAGTCATTCCGCGCGCTGTTAAATCTCTCCGCTTAATATTGACTCCTTATTCCTTGCAGCTTTACGATACTCTGCCAGGATGCCTGAACAGTGCCGATGTAAGTCCAATCTATTTACTTTAGTTTTCTTGTTCATCATGGGATCTGACATACTGCAACAGGTACAAGATTCTTTGGAGTATGGCTATAAAGCAATCAAGGCAGTCATGGGGGCCCTCGACCAAGCTGCGCAAAATAACCCCAATGTTAACGGCATCACAGCCTCCTCGTTCGAAGACGCATGGATAACTTACTCGAAAGACTTCTTCGAGCAAATGCAAGGGAACCTTCAGGATTTCGTGACGGCTCGTATCAATGAGGTTACCAAGTACTGGAGTACAAGTGCCGCGACCACAGCCTTTACCAAGGCTGGGGCAGCGGCAGTTGCGAAAGCACTTGGCGAGAAGCTGAGCGGTGTGTCTACGGATGTTGTCATAGACAGCAGCTTCTTTCAGTGATCACTATCCATTTTTGATGTGGGTGGTACAAATGGGATTATCCTGCCATGTCGTGTATCATATGACTTCAAACGCAAGTTCAAGTTTGAGCAGACGAGAAACATAATGAAGAAAGAGTCAAAGATGTTAATGCGGAATCCTAGTATACATAGCTTCAAGGAACCTAGGTAGTACTATATCCACCCATCAGTCTCCCAATCTGAGTATTTGCACATGTGTGGAGGGAAGAAAATCTATTCTAGTAGGAAAATCTTCACAACGGGACAACAGTCAAATAATATCTAATAAGTCTGAAACTAGTATTATTTAATAGTACTTTATACACAGAATATAAAAATTTAATTTTATTCATCTCCTAGTACTCTCACAGTGTCACTTGTGGGCAGTGCAAGGTCTAGTGTGATGAAATTAAACCTGTCTGCGGGCCATGTGCTGGAACAACCCGTGGTTGCACATTCACGTCCAGTCCCATCTTTCGCCACTTTGACAGTCAAGATGGCCAAAAGGAGACTAGGAAGTTTGGCCAACAGCAACGTTGGCCCTCTGATGAGTATCTGCTCTTTCGGTCGGAGCATACTTGGATCAAGGTACCACCATCCCGTCGTAAGTTGCTCCACATCCTGGTATCCCCCCGCTTAAAAAAAAGGGCCGGAGTTGACACGGTATAGTCACATTTGTCGAAGTGTCCAGCCCCTTCGTGGACACTGGAACCAGTTCATTAGACGATACAACAGCCCATTCTCCTGCCTTGCCCCGTCCCTCCATTACAGATGAACATGAGTTGGCCGAATATACATCCCTCCCAGTTCCAGAATATGATCAAGCTTCCTCAGCCGGGAACACCGCAGAAGAAGGAACCATTGTTCTCATCACACAGCTACTACATTACTTCACGAAATCTCCCGCGCAATGGTAATCCCGTTACACACTGCATTTAACTCCCTCAAAACGTATGGCTAGGATGGACTTCTTTGACTCGAGCGCGCACTTCTCGATTAAAGCGCCCGTGATGGCGGCGATGGGACCGATGTTATCAGCCTCAGTATGCTCTTTGGCCGCCAAGCATTTATGTCGTACCTCAAGTGGGACCAGGCCTGGTTTCAACCGCCTCAGGTGAAGAATAGCTATTTCCGATGGATTTTCGAGGAAATCGGTTGGGAATTCTAAAGTTCTACGACGATTCTTTTATTGACTTGAAGAGAGCTATTGTCTCCCAAGACGTAAGGGTTGACTAGCAGCTTCCGCGAGCCAACAGGAGGGTATTCTTGGTTACCGCAATACTCTTGTGTCTACGAGTTGATTGGGCCTCCCAGCATGGAATGGAGGATCCATTTCAGTGCTCTGCCTCTCCTGCATTCCAGCCTCACGGCCAATACAAGCACATTCCTTCAAATTTCCCGTTCCGTCTTCTGGAGTCTTGCGCGGCAAGGTTGCCAGATGTGCTTGTGAGTGTCATGACATCCACCTTAGCCTTCCTCACTACTCCGTTCTCTGCTCTTTGCTGACTAGACATAGTCATTAGTGAGACCCAGACTCGGTTAGATCTTTTCAATTTCGAACTTTCGCGATATTTCGGCCTCTCCATAGACACCCACAGACTGCTATTATCACATCCTCCCGGGAATCAATTTAACACAGATCATACGTCGCTTGAACCGGACATATTCAGCAACGCCCTTTTCTGAATCGTTGGAAAATTCTTAAACTTTCTCACCTCCGGCGATAGCTTGAACCCCGGCGATGAGGCCACAGCGCACGGATTGGGGCGACCCAGGACCTACTTGAAAGGTGGAAGAGATTGGAAGTCCAGTTGCAGACTTGGAACAGCTACCTGCCTCCCAACATTACAGGATGTGCCCGGAGAACTATAGATCTGTCGGGTCTAACATTGGGCATGAGTGCCTATACTGAAACCCTCGATGCCACTTTATATACTACCCCGATGTGTGCTGAGACAATGCAGACCTACCATATGGCTCGCATTCTTCTGATAATGGACAAACCACAGGATCCTCAGCGTATTCGTATTCTTCATTTCCCTAGCAACGGGCAAGGTAGGTAGGAAGGCATGCTGCGCATGGGAAAATCTAAGCGAAAAAGGAGGGATAAGAAGTAATATACGAGCGTAGTCCGAAGCAGTATAGAAGCATCCAGCGCCACCACTATGAAAGAATGATTTAATATCTGTTTCTGTCTGTATCACCGTCAACCCCTGTGGAGTAGGTGATCCCTCATCGTGATCCTACCATCACGCGTTCGTTGATGCATGTATTCCAACTTAGCCTTCATTTCCATCGATAGAATCATTGAAGCATTAGTTAATCTAAGCGGACGAAAAGATTCCTCTTCCATATTAGTCGTCCAGTCTCTGGCCTGCCAGCCATTCGAGAACGATACCAGCCCAGTCCATGTTGATCTGAATGATATTTTTAGGGACGTGCAGGACGATAGAAAGTGTATATATCTTGCAGTGCACAACAGGTCAAGAAGAAAGAAGTAAAGAAGAAAAAAAAGAAAAGTGCACCATACTCGAACACGTCCCCCGGCTCCTTAACCAACGGTTGCATGAAGTCCATAAAACAGCCCGAGACCTCATCATGACCTGCTTGTCGACCGTAGTCCCGTAAGGCGTGATTCGAAAACAAGTATCCGAAGCCAGCTGCGCTATCACTATCAGCATCCTTCCCTTCACACACTCCTGCAACTATTAGGTAGTTTTCGCGGTGTAGATGAGATTGACAAACCAGTATGAGTAAGAAGTATCCTCAACGTAATCCCACTCTTCTTCTCCAAAAGCTCCCCAACACTTAAGATACGCACATCCTTCAATTCTGGACAAAGCCGATTTACCCCTTCCGCATCATCAAGAGAAATATGTCCGCGCTCAACAGGTTGCATGCAGCAGATAGCCGTGATGTGTTTCGTGCATGATGCAATCCAGAACACGTCCCTTGGCTGAACCTGTGCAATAGGTTGTGTTTTACAGTTGAAATGCAATAAGAGCCGTTTCAACCGTGACCTATTATTTCAATCGCGACCTGATCCGTTGCCCCACGTGAACTGTGTGCCGACTTGTTTATTCGATCAGTTTTGCCCTTTCGGACATTCTTATTATTTTGTACCAGCATAAACTCCTCAGTCTATCATATGTTCTGTTGCTAATTTCGATGAACATACCATGGCCATCACTGTGATTGGTTGATTGGTTGCCACTCATGCCGAACAACTATTTAGTTAGGCATTCCGCTTCACAAAAGGCCTGCGGGTGAAGAGCGGCTACAGAAACAGCGTTGAGCCTTTTATCAGGGACCAGCCAAACTTGCTGTTGAGACTGTGAGCGTTAATACTTCTTATATCAGGTTTATAAAACAAGAGAATCAGAAGTCAAATCATGATCAGATGATAGGCTTCGCATGGAAGGTAGTAGGTGGAAAACATGTTTATCAGATATGCAGAATCTCGTTCTACGCTGTTGCTTCCTCTTTGATTGGAACAACATGTGTTATGCAATGGCAGCGATGTATTAGTCCTCATGATTTCATTACATTCAACTTGAGTAATCTTGTCGCTCTTTATTGGTACCATGAACGTTGGTCTGGTAGGTGAAAAGAAAAAGAACAACTATTTAGGGGTTATAGTTGTCGACCTGCTCTGGCCGGTATCGCCGCCGGAAGGGCTTAAGCAGATTGCTTGTGTTCAGCGCAACCAGCTTACTTGTCGGCATTAGAAACAACTCGTCGATCTCCTCCAATGTTTTGTCTTTAGTCTCGGGCATAAAGAACAGCTGGTAAAAGAAGCCTAGCGCGGCCAAGCCGCCGAAGAAACCGATTGTCAGGCCGGTGTAGGTCATCGCTTTCTGCATCCCTTCGAAGTTGTATGTCACAATGAATGACCACAGATAAAGGAATACAGAGCAGATCGCCATGCCCTGGCTGCGGGTGCTAAAACCAAAGCTCTCTGCTGGCACTACCCAGGTCAGGCACGAATATGCCCCGAAGAACGCCATGTACAGCACCAGACCGGAGAAAAACAACCCCAAGGCCGTTGCCTTATGCTCATTGAAATAATCAACACCATTGTTCGTGTATAGGTAGCCGACGCCCACCAGCGCCAGACCCACGATGAACATCAGGATGTTTTGCGCCCACACCCGGCGCCCAAACTTGTCCATGGTGAACACAGCAGGAATTGTTCCCAGGAACAACGCGCCACCGCCCACCATCGACATCAGCACTGACTCGCGGTCATCAAAGTTCATCTTGGCCATCAAGTTTGACATATTGTACATCACCGCATTGATGCCCGTCATCTGCCCGAAAAATATCATAGCCGTGGCATATACAAGCGCCCGTCGGTTGCGCGGCGTCCTGCACACCTCCAGATACCTCTGATGCCATTTCTCGTTCGCGGACTGGTCGACCTCATGTTTGACTGTAAGTTCCATCGCAAGGTACTCGTCCAGGCTTTTTGGGTCGGCCATGTCGCGCAGCGACTTCCACACCCGCCACGCGCGCCCGTACTTGCCCTTGGATGCCAGCCAGCGCGGTGATTCTGGCAGGAAGGCCATCCCAACCAGGAGGATGGTCGAAAACAAGAGAGACGAGCCCAGCATCCAGCGCCAGCTGCCTGACGGGATGTCAAAGAAAACGCCGCCGGCGGCGTATCCGATGATCTCTCCGAATGCGATCATCAGCTGATATACCGACACCAGGTTGCCACGCACCTCTGGCGGCACACACTCGGAGATGTAGATACCAACACAGCCGCCTTCGATTCCGATACCGATGCCCAGAATGAATCGGCCCGCAAACAGCATCCCCACACTACGGGAGCCTGCACACAGGCCACTGCCCAGTGTGTACCACAAACACGAGATGATGATCGAGTTGCGGCGTCCAAAGTAGAAGTTCAGCGGCGTCATGATGAGCGCGCCGGCCATTGCGCCCAGCGGCATCAGTGAAGAAATCAGTGAAATGTCGGTCGCCAGTTTCGGGTCGTCCATGCTCGCCCACTCGCCTGACGCGATGAAATGCTTGCGGATACCAGGCAGCGCGCCCGAGATCACCGACTGGTCTAACCCACTCAGCATGCCGCTGAACGCCGCGAACACGCCCAGTGTGATAACTAGCATGCGAGGGCTCTTCATGTGCACTGGTATCTGCGCGAACGCTATCCGGTCATACAGTGTTTCGTTGTCGAGATACTGATTGCTTTGCAGATTGCGTGCCTCGATCTCGTGCTCACGCTCCTCGGGCGTGAGTTCATCGCTGAACTCTTTGCCAATGGCATCAGGCTTTTCCTCATAGTTATCGCTCATTTCGAGTCTGTCGAATCAAGATGACGAAAGGATTATGTGTGGTCAGGATGGAAAAAAAAAAAAAAAAGTCAGACGACCCCAATGCCCTCTATATAATGCCTGTTTCGCCGAGAAGTTTGTCTGCGGATTATTGTACTCCGTACCATTGTACCTCTCTCCAATCCCCGACCTCCATGCCCCAGACCCCACTCCCTCGACCCCACAAGTCCCCAGAGTATCCGATAATGAAGTCTTTTCTTTCTCTTCTGGGAAAACGCGGTTGCATCAATGTGTATCGGGTTTGTATTATTATGGGGTTATGTGAATACGAGACGCAACGCGCCTAACGACTATAAATCCAACCCACGCCATGGAGTAAAGGTTCTTTTAATCGCAGCGAGCGTGGAAGGCTCGACGTTAAGGGTCCTTGAACAGCTAACAGAAGTAGGGTCGTAAGAAATAATGAGCGACGCCCCCAATACTCGGAGTCCATTTGGCAAAAAAAACTTCCATGCCCCGCCCCCCCCCCCCGCTCGGAAGGAACGTGCATGGGCAAAGTTTGCGGGCTCACACCCAATTGCCAAGTCGGACGGCTCAGCAGGACCGGGGTTGACTGGGACCCGTGTGATTTTCTCCGAAGACTGCCCGGTCGGAACTGGTAGCACACTAAGTACTCTGCCACAATATGTAATGTTTAGACTGCTCGAAGCATTTGAGAAATACTCAGCGATAACTTTGTATATAAGTGTGCCTCCCCATGGGGACAAAACGTCTGGGCATTTCTCGGCCTTATTCAATGTTCTCGAAGATCGCTAGGCCTAGAGAAAAGCAAAGATTAAGATTAGCAAAGGGGATCTCCAGTATGACGTTCTTGCAAAGAATCCCGCGTTAGTTCATCCCACATCAGCTCCAATTCATTCTTGTGGAGAGCGCCAATATGTCCGCGAGGCAATAATACGTAATTCGTCCTGTATCGCCAGCAGCCCATTGCCCCGGACCAGACAACCCTTCTCCATGGGGTATCTCGGCACCCTATGCGCGATTAATCTCGCAGCGACGATATTTCCCCGGGGGGAGAGGTGGCGAAGGGTCTAACTGCGTCGTAATCTCTCTCGTACCTACTTCGGGCCCCACTTGCTAGGCTTCTGTAAAGCCAGACTGAGTTCTCGGCTAACCGTGTTCAATCCCGCTTTGTTTGGGCCCTTCTTCGGGCTTGCTCCGCGTGAGAAAGCTGGGTAAAGCACCGATATTTCTCCGGAAGTTGTTGGTGCGGAGACTTCCTCATTGCTTTTCGGGACGCCGTACGGGTACCTACTAAGCCGCCAGGGACCCATGAGCACATATAACCGAAACGACAGACGTAGTAATACAGACGGTAATTCACATAATTGTCCGAGTCGCGTTCGCAGCGACCTTAGGCCGCTGCCACGTGGTGCGGTGTAGGATATAGCATGGAGCTTATTCACAGTCAGAAAGGCAGTAACAATTCGTGACAAACTACATTAAGAGTGACCTGATTTATCTCATTTGGGTCTCGGAGAATGGTACGAATGTCTACGGCAGACCGGGCGTGGGATAAGCTAGTTAAAGTTGGCCGTGTGCAAATACCGGCAGGGTTAGGTCTAAAAAAAATGCGGTCCAGGATAATTCCCTGGCAGCTGTTGAAGGTAGTGGCAGAAGCTAGTCTAGAAGTAGGGCAAATTATCGACGTTACACCGTCCAATTCGCACGGTGAAGCCGGATGAGGCCGGAACTCGACGTGATTCGCGGTGTAGGTAAAATTTTGGCGACTGGGTATTCGGCGTGTACGCTCGCTGTAATAACTGCGCCTGCACCCCATTCTATTTATCTTGGCGGGCTCTGGGTCAAGCGGCGAAACCCAACCCAACTCGCGCTTTTGACGAGATCAAGATTTCGCCACCCACCCTTAATAATAATAACCCTGATAAGGAAAGGGAATATACTGATCAGATACAGCAGCCTTTTTAGCGATTTAGCATCTTGATAGCCGTTGCCGGCTTCGATTTCCCGAGGAAAAATTTGCCGTCCTACAGTAGTGCTTGTGCCTGAGACACAAACCTACATGGCTTTAAGAAGTTTCAAAAACACCAGGATTACTAGTTCATTTGGCCCCGTGTTGCCGTTGGTCAACTTGCGGGGTGAGAGTTTGAGTTTCCCCGAAGAAACTCGCCGGTGCTTCGATATCGGTGCTGCTAACTCCATTGTGGGGACCGTTTGGCTGTTTAGGCCTTTTCAACATCCTCCAGCGCCAACTCTGAATGCGTCGTATCTTCATTAGCTAATCTCATGTTCCCAGTGTCGTTTCCATAGAGAATACTGCCAGAGGACGCGAACAAACCTACCGAGATGGCTGGCGACGCAGCTCCCTTTTCATTGGGGGAACATTTGAACAATATAGCTGTCGCTTAAGGAGTTATCGAATTCATGATTGTCCAACAAAGAAGGGAGAGATCCTTCCCATGTATAATACGATATTGAGGACTGCAACAGTGTGTGCAGAGGGATAACAGTGCTAAGCACTTGGGGGCCGGCTGTGCTAGAATCAAGTTATGGACTTGACGGGAGTTAACTACCACCCGAAACGCAATCTAAGCCCGGACTGGGCAGAGTCGGCCTGGTCGCCAAGACGGTCCGTGTGGGGTTGAATGACACACTCCAAACCTTCCAAAGAGAAAACGCAAAAGGGCACAGTGGGGTAGTTCCGTGGGAGCGTGGCAATCGCGTAAGGGCCCCTCCAATGGACCTTGCCCCTAAATACCATCCAGGCTTTTGAGAGCGAAGCGACCAGGGAAATTGTGTGGAGCCTGCTCCGGGCACAAAACCAATTTGGGGCCAAGTAGATGGCAGGTATTGAACAGTAAACCGACAT